AAAGACTACGTGTCTGTCGGCAACCAAGTGCTGGATCTGTTGGACACGAGTCGTGTGGAGATCCCATACGCGGACCGGTCTGTCGATAAGCACCCGATGATTGTCTTCTCGTTATGGGATCAGAAGCGCCAGAATGAAGGCGTTCTCAAGTGGTTGGCCGACAGACACACTGAGACATGTGGTGTGGCTCTGGACTGGAATATCGTTGTGCTGGACGTGTCGGACCTATTGATGGCAATACACCTGAAGTACGGACAGAGGAAAGCGATGAAAGACGTGAGGGAAGAGCTGTCGACCACTAGTTTTGACTATAGTTTGGGGACTGACTGTCACTTTCACGAGGAGATCCAATGCATTGTCTGCGCCCAAGGAGTGGCCAAACGTATGGCTTACGTGATGTCTCAGTCGCTGATTAATGTATTGCAATTCAAACCACTGGCCACACACTTCCCGACCGTTCAGATCAATAAGCATTACATTCACTATCAGTTCATCTCAAAGGCATTCAAGGATTTGAAATTAGAGGACGAGAAGACCGAAGACCTGAACGCAAACTATCAATATTTCGACTGAAACACGGCTTTCACTCTCCACACAATTTAACACTCATTTTATGTTTTCTATAGTTTTGATAATAATTGTAATCATGTTTTCAATTCATTTTTTGTTTTTCTAATCAAGTATTTATGATATGATTTAAAATTTAAGATTTAGTTTATTAGATTTGAGTTAATTAGTTTAGAAGTATTAATATATATCTATGTATTTGATTGTTATATTTGGCAACAAATTGCATGAGTTCTGGTAATTTGTGTGCAGAAAGTGTGAGAAATTAAAATCACTTTATATTTGAGATAAAAGTAAATTTTATTAAGGAGAGATAATGTGATGAGAAAACAAAACTCCATTAATAAATATCGTAGTCTTTCTAATGATTTTAGTTGTGTTTGAAATAAAATACATGTAAACGACAATTAATTGACATTAATTTTGTTGTTATTCTGTTTGATATGTGTGTTAATACATATAACTTATAATTTTAACGTTTGCGACGAAAAACAAGAAAATTATTTATGAATATATAATTTGAAGAAAACATTTTGTATATAAAAAAATTTATTAAATGAACAAAAATAAAAAGTTATGTAAAAAACAAAAAAGTTTCAAAAGAGATGTCGAAAGAGTTGTGAAACTAATTGATTCAAAAGTTGTAACCAATTTATATGAGACCGAGAGATGTCTCTCTCACTCACTCACACTCTCTCTGCCTCTCTCTCGCAATCGCTCGCCTTATTGTGTCTTACGATTGACGTAATCATCAAAAAAATTGTAATCCAAACGCAATAGCGTTGGAAAAGCCTGTTATATAGCGATAGTAAATGTACGCAAAGCCTGTTCTCTGGTATGCNATCCAAACGCAATAGCGTTGGAAAAGCCTGTTATATAGCGATAGTAAATGTACGCAAAGCCTGTTCTCTGGTATGCCTTATGTATGGTATGAGTGAAGTAAACAATACCTTAAATACGGATCGCATAGAAAATACTGTTATTTTAATAGCGCTTATAATAAACACAATTAAATGTAACACTCATTACGTTATATGCAATGAATTGTCACTGAATTGAGTGCTGTTTTGTGTTGTGAAACACATATTTGAATCCACAATACAATAACATTGTGTTTAACGTGTAATACATTTGTGTTATATTTGTTGTTTAAAAGTCTCGCACAAAACAAATAGACATTTATATGTGTTTTCATTAATACCGAGATTTGTTTGAATTATTTTTACTCAATTATTATTATAATTAATATATTTTTGATTATTTATATGATTATATAAATCAATGACTCAATGACTACTCAATTATGTCGTCAAACAAAATGTGTTTCAAATTCAAGTGTGATTTGGTATCCGATCTGTGAATCAATGGTAAGTCTTATTGTTTTTGTTGATTACATAACCAATTGATGTGATATTAGATGCAAATCATAGACACAAATGATAGACAAATGGCAATCATATGATCGCCTGTTGTCTCATATGATTGTTGTCTATCATTTGAAACACATGTTTAAATGCCATTCAATTTACATAAGGCTTGAAATGTGCGTTAAATGTATGCAAATATGATTTAAATTTCAATTTTATTGTTTGTTTTAACAAATGTTTGCAACAATTTATTAATAGCTTTTTATTTTATATATATTTCGTGTCGTAATAGCAATACATATACTCTAATGACTAACCGATAGTGTCTTTGACTTCGTATTCAAACATCAATTATCTAACAAATGCTTTGTTTGTGTCAATAATAATAACAACATTTTTATATAATATATTATATAATGAACTCAAGAGACCATTAATGAACTCACTGTACATATAGTGTACGACACGTTATAAGTTATAACAGAGTATCCCAACTGTTAAACCAATTGCTGGCTATTTATAAGTGCACTAAATATTGGCTCAAAAAATTGTTTTTCACTTTCGCTTCGCAATCAGTGTTTGATAATCAAAATCTTGTGTTTTTATTATTTTGTTGGCATTTAATAATGTATTGTATGTATTGTGTAAAAAAGCATATCTATCTATAAAATGTGTTATAAGTTATAACTATTGGCAGACTTTATGTCGGCTTTAGTTGGGTTTCGACCAAAAATCTGAACGTAATAATGAGTTATGAAAATAATCACACGATTTTCAAGTGTAGTATTAATATTAGTTAATAGTTAATAGGATTTAATAGTATTGGAGGTTTGGCTATGAGTTTGGTTTTGTCTGGTTTTATCATATATTTCGCCACATATTGTGTTTACATTAAGAGAGTTGTTATTATCAAACGATTTGCTCATAAATTGAAATATTATTTATCAGTTATTATTAATCACGAGTTGTCTTACGAAGCGATTCACGTAATACTCAAAACACCAGAAAATCCTTCACTTTTAGGATAGCATTGAAAAAACGAGTGACAAAAACACACCACAAGAATCTCATTGAACGAGTGCTTTTGATTCGCCCTTAAACTCCCGGTTCTCTTACAAAACACACAAATGTTTTCAATGTTTGATTGATTAATGTATTCATATTTGTTAAGTAATATCTCATAATATTATATGCATTTAAATACCACTTTTCCTGGTAATCAAAATTAATTGTCTTATCGATAGAGAGTATAACGTATATAAGGTATGAAGACTGAGAGCTAACAAAATAGACGAAAAATTGATTTCAAATATCAATAATTTTTTATGAAATGTGAATAAAAGTGAATAATACATTTATTTGAGTTACTTTCCACTCGCAAACTCACTATCGCTAACCTAAACACTACAGTAACTGTAGTTTTAGTTTAAAGTTTTCAATCTTAATGTTTAGACGTTTAAAGTCTAATAGTTTTTTTTGTGGACGAAAATAAATAGTCTGTAAATTATAAAAGTGTTTTGTCTCACGAATGAGTCTTCAAATATCATATAAGTTATCATTTAATACATTTTACGTGATTTTAAAGTCTATTATTTAATCCCAACAAAGCCTTTCTGGTATACCTTTTTATGTTACTTTTCGCTTGAATTGTGTTGAATGTCATTAAAACAAAAGTTTTAAATATAACTTATATATCGTATAAATTACTGTATTATCTGCAAAAGTGTGCCACAAAAATAGACAAATACTTTGCTTGATATTAGGGGCGAGGGCTCTGTCAGGTGCCCAACACTATGTAAGTGTAATTTTTTGCGTTAACTTTAATGTAAATTTTAATTTGATTTTTAGTTATTTTATTGAAATTACTAAATGAATGCATAAATAAAAATATGTTTCTTAATGTCTTTTATGAGCGCAAAACCACTTTTTATATGTTATTGTATTGAATATACCATTTGGCATAGAGTCAGGACCGGCAGGCCTTGATTTTAACACTCAATTATGTGTTTTTATGTTTTTATTTTGTGATCAAATGACACAATTCATTGGAAAAACACTTTTAGTTGTATTGTTGAGTATATTTCAGATATAAATAAAAATAAAACAATTTGATAGTCATTTCATAATGATTTACTGCACAAACTATTAGTTCAATTAAAGCTTTTTTAAAGTAAATATTTAGTTATTAGTACTTTCCATACGTATATTTAATTAACACTATTTTTCGTTACCATTAAAACTATGTGAATTATATGTACGTTTAGTTATAAATTAGATAAATATTGTATTTATTAATGAAACCAATATATTCTTAACACTATTTAATCGTTGATTTGAACGATAAGTCCATTTCTTGTATGGAAATAATGGCATTCATTGTGAGTTTTTAGTCCTAATATTCCGTTTTGGTATCACTTTTAGACATTAATAACTTTTGCAAACATTTGATACTTTGCCCTTATTTTGCAAATCCTTATGACTTGAAGTGAAATCAACTTTAAAATAAAATTCAATTATATTATAATTATCTTAAATTTGTTTTTATGAACTCATTTCGTGAGCATTAACTGTAATGACTACTACTTTGAATCCCCGTTTCTCTCGATTCAGTCCTCTATTATTATTTGAAATATAAATTAATTCCTTTTCCTATTATTAAAAAATTGTTTTAAATATTTATTTGAAACGAAAACAGTTGGAAAGGGTTTGCAATTTTAGTTGTAATCGTATTATAATATTATTTATTAGCCCAACGACTAAACAAACAACTTATTAATATAACATATGTATTAAAATTATATATTTTTATGATTAGATTATGCGCTGATTTGATTGCAACTAAAGGCTTAAAAATAATAAAACAAGAGATTATCGCAAAACTTCATACGAAGAAACGTCTCATTTATAAACTTCTCTTAACATTTGAATCCCTGGTCTTCGCCATGAATTATATGAAGTCATTCTTCAGTAATTTTCGTGAATTTTATAACGAAATCAATTCAGCGACTCTTACGGGTGCTATCGATGTGATTGTCGTACAACAAGAGGACGGCTCCTACAAGTGCTCTCCATTTTACGTCCGTTTTGGCAAAATCGGTGTTCTTCGCAGTCGAGAGAAAATTGTAAATGTTTTGCAAATGTTTGACTTATTTTGAAACTAAATGACTGTTTTGATCGCACTTTTAGGTGGATATTGAAGTGAATGGACAACCGGTTGATCTGCAGATGAAATTAGGCCATTCGGGCGACGCTTTCTTCTTCGAGGAGATCATAGAAGAGGAGCCAAAGAACGTGCGAGAGTCGGCCCCTTCGCCCACTGAGGAGTCGGAGAACGGGTGGCTCTCCGACCAGTATCTGTCGTCGGGAAGCGATGCCGGCAGTGACGCCGATATCGACGAGAACTCTCCGGCAAACGGCGAGACACGAGAGCCGACCGAACAAAAGGACAAAAAGCAAAAGATTAAGTACAAGAAGAAGATTCGTTTGTCTTCGCAACAGATCGAGGACTTGAATCTGAATGAGGGTAAGAATGAAGTGGTGTTTAGTGTGACGACAGCATATCAGGGCACCACTACCTGCAAGTGTTACCTCTTCTTGTGGCGATACGACGACCAGATCATCATCAGCGACATCGACGGCACAATCACTAAGTCTGACGTTTTGGGACACATTCTGCCCATAATAGGCAGAGATTGGGCGCAGTCTGGAGTCGCAAACCTATTCACTCTAATCAAGAAAAATGGTTATAAAATCGTTTACCTCTCGGCGCGAGCCATTGGTCAGGCCTCGTCTACCGGTGATTATCTCAAAAGCATACGACAGGGCGATCGCTCTCTACCAGAAGGACCTCTACTCCTATCTCCTACTTCTATGATCGCCGCTCTCCACAGGTATGCAATTATTTGGTTCTTAATTAACAATTGGTTTTAATTAAAATCATTATTTGTTAAATAGAGAGGTAATCGAGAAGAAACCCGAAGAGTTCAAAATCCAATGTCTCTCAGATATCCGTGATTTGTATCCCAAGTCTCCATTTTATGCGGGCTTTGGAAACAAAATTAATGTGAGTTTTTGTTTGCTTTTCGCTCTAAAAGTAGAGCACAATAGCAATTAATTGATGATAAATGTGTCGTCCCATAGGATACGTGGGCGTATCGGGCGGTTGACATCCGGCCGTCGCGTATATTCACGATCAACCATAAGGGAGAACTCAAACTGGAATTAATCCAAAACTTTCAGTCATCGTAAGTGTGTTTTCATCTAAATATAAAATGACTTTTAATGTGTTTTAAATACAATAATTAGTGATTGAGTGCCAAAACGGCAAATGCATAACCGATTATCTAATGCCTTAATCTGTTATCTGATAATCCCATTAGCTATACATCATTGAGTGATTTGGTTGACCAGATGTTTCCGCCCCTGTTTTCCGATCAAACCGACTATAGCTCAGAGTTTAGCGCATTTGAGTACTGGAGGGAAACCATACCCGACGTCGAAGAGAACGATGATTTGTTGATTAATATACAAACGAAAGTGAATCTAAGCCCTAATAAATTAGCCAATAATAACTCCATGTTTCGCAAAAAAGTTAAATAAGTTATAAACATATACTTTATATATATTTGGTGTCATTTTTATCATATTTTATTTAAATTCAATTATAATTATTAATCCAAACATTGATTTGAATGAAAGTTTAGAAAGAAAAATACTATTTTGTTATTTTTTGTTAATTTCTAATGATTTTTTGTTGATAAATATTTTATAAAACAAATTTAGTTTCCATTTATATTAAATGATATAAACAATTATAAGTGAAAAAACTGTTATTTCAAGTATTGAATGACAACAACAGTATAGCCGCCGCTCAACATCTCTTCGCATTTGTTCCCCTCATTGCAAGAACTTATTAACATTTGTTGTGTTTTATGTTTTGTGTGATTTTGTGGTTATTTTTTAGCAATTTTTATAATTTTGCACGAAATGAATGAATGATTTGATTTCTAATACAATGGTCTCAATTGTATGAACCGTTAAATTATGAACAAATACTACTTAACCGTAGATTAAATGCTAATTCTATCCAAACTATCTATAAATCTCAATAAAATTTACTGATTATTACGAAAAAAAATTGTGAATAAAATTTACTTTTATCTCAAATATAAAGTGATTTTAATTTCTCACACTTTCTGCACACAAATTACCAGAACTCATGCAATTTGTTGCCAAATATAACAATCAAATACATAGATATATATTAATATTTCTAAACTAATTAACTCAAACATAAACTAAATCTTAAATTTTAAATCATATCATAAATACTTGATTAGAAAAACAAAAAATGAATTGAAAACATGATTACAATTATTGTGAAAACTATAGCAAACATAAAATGAGTGTTAAATTGTGTGGAGAGTGAAAGCCGTGTTTCAGTCGAAATATTGATAGTTTGCGTTCAGGTCTTCAGTCTTCTCGTCCTCTAATTTCAAATCCTTGAACGCCTTTGAGATGAACTGATAGTGAATGTAATGCTTATTGATCTGAACGGTTGGGAAGTGTGTGGCCAGTGGTTTGAATTGCAATACATTAATCAACGACTGAGACATCACGTAAGCCATACGTTTGGCCACTCCTTGAGCGCAGACAATGCATTGGATCTCCTCATGAAAGTGACAGTCAGTTCCCAAACTATAGTCAAAACTAGTGGTCGACAGCTCTTCCCTCACGTCTTTCATCGCTTTTCTCTGTCCGTACTTCAGGTGTATTGCCATCAATAGGTCCGACACGTCCAGCACAACGATATTCCAGTCCAAAGCAACACCACATGTCTCGGTGTGTCTGTCGGCCAACCACTTGAGAACGCCTTCATTCTGGGGCTTCTGATCCCATAACGAGAAGACAATCATCGGGTGCTTATCGACAGACCGGTCCGCGTATGGGATCTCCACACGACTCGTGTCCAACAGATCCAGCACTTGGTTGCCGACAGACACGTAGTCTTTGGTCGCCCACTCGAAGTCTGTGATCGGGATTTTGTGCGATCTCTTCATGTGATCGATGGACGCGAAGGCAAAGCCGTACGGAATCTCTTGACAGTCGATGAACGAGTGGTACGCCTTCTGAATGCCATCTCTGATGGTGTACTCAACGAAACCAATTTCCAGCGGACGATACTCTCCGTCGACAATGCATTGGATGTTTGACGCCATGAAGTATACCTTCGTTGCCATCAACTCGTCCCGAGTCTTGAAGTCAACCAACTCTTGCATCAGTTTCTCACTCAACACGCGCTTCAAGTGTTGGCCACCCTTTGGATCCGTTGTTTCGCCCGACGTATGGCCGCCGCCGCCGTCGTTGGCCATCGCCTGCTCGCCATTCGCGACGTTCGGGTCATTGGTCTTCGGCTGCGGACCCGAGTGGTCGCCGATTGCGTGCGTCTTCTCGATGTCGGACATCATCTGAAGGGCAAAGACAACGCACGGGTCGTATGAATGGTGTCTTAAGAGCACATCCCGTGTATACAGACCTTCCACTCTGTCCTGCAGTCGGCGATGAAGTCCTGATCCTTAAGACTGGCTCTCATTGTCGACGCCTTTGAGAACAGATACTTCTTAAACATCTTCGAGTTGGACGTCATTTTGGATGTCTTATAGTTACAGAATAAGCGCCTAGTTTACTCAGTACATAACTTGGTTTTTCAAAACTAATTTTTTTTAGTTTGTTTTCTAAAAAAAAGGGTTTTTTAATAGACTAAAAAGTTAATTACGCAGCGTTTTTTTAGCTTCAATTACTACACTCTATGCTCGTTATTATTCACACCAGTCATCACAAGCCTATTATAAACTGTACTGTGAATGCGTTTAATGGATATGAGTTGTATCGGGAGTCGACTGTAATCTCAACTCTAAAAAGTGTTTTGCAATTAATTTTTGGTCTAATTTTTGAGTCATTTTTTGAGTCACAAAATGAGTTTCAACTTTCATTCAATAAACTTATTAATCATTATTACAGCCAAACCTCCATATAATGGACACAACTGTGAGTAATGGCCGATTAGATATGAATTATGCCGATTGTACCATGCTCAATTAACCAAAGTAATCGAGATGCACCGAAAATTACACTAATAATGACCAAAACAATGACCAGACTTACGGCAATAAGCGTACACTTAATGGCAACCATTGGACACAACAACGGGCGTCGACTGTATTGCGAGACATATCGATGCGAATGAATGGAGACATGCATTGAGTGAAGTGTTGCCGACAAAAGCTGTGCCGCGAAAAACGTATAGTCGAGTGAAGTGTGAATGCAATCGATTGGCCACTCATTCAGTGGGACTCAACAGTAGTGGCGGTCGTATAGACTGTCGAGACGTACAGTGAAATCGCGGCCAACAGTACGGCCGACCATTGCATCGATTGGTCGCTCATTGAGTGGACGAATGGTTTGTATGGCTTTTGACTGCGATTTCAATGCGATTGCCGTTTGTGTTGAGCGTAGGGTTGAGTGCAATGTATGCCAAACACCACTCCATGTCTTGTATAGCGATTGCAATGTATGAATGCATTGAATGAATGAATGATTGAATGAAACGGATGTGAAATCACATGAAATAGTGGTATAAAAGGGCTAACAATGAGACGATCGCACCATTCGTGCCATTCATTCACTCATTTGTCGC